GTCAAGCTTTAATTGATTATTTTCCTTGATTCAGTCCCTCATTATTGATCGAAAAATTGCGAAAAAGCTCTGATAAGACAGTACTATCCATTTCGTTTACATGACTGCAACCGCACAAAAAGTGTGGTTTTGTGAAAATCTGCTAGACAGGAATCTCAGCGGAGAAAACAAGCTCCAAGCCGAATCATACCCTTAAAAAGTCACTGCCAACTGTTTTCTGTTTTTGAAGTAAATATTTATGACGTAGAGCCCTCCTGTTCAAATACGTAGCTGTAAAATCCAAATATGGCTCACTGTTTTCGTTCTGTTGTTGCTAGTAGCTGCTACATATATCTCACATTCTATTCAAGCTCTCTTAGATGACCTCAAACAAACCAGGTGAGCCTGTCCAGTTGAATTGACGCTCACGAACTAATTACTTCAATGTTCTTCACCACGTGTTTCCGTTTTGGAATCGGAGGAAATGTATAGAACTATTTTTCAACGTATTTTACGCTAACTAATTTGAAGAATCAACGGCGTGTTTAGCTATATTCAGTGTTTACTCATTCTAATTATTATATTTATTATGCGCATAAAGTGTCCTACATCGATGGAAACTAGAGGCTTTAACTCACAAATATACTTTACTCTTGATACATTTGCTTGTTTTTTTTCACACCAAGAGTGCTTCAATTTGAAATTTTCTAATTAGCTCTACAAAAGACAAAAGTCTTTTGACAATATAGCTGTAAAAGTCCCAGGCAAAGCCATTCAGTGTCAATTTGGGGCAGACAAGGTCCATTGGTCGTATGTCAAGTCTTTTCTGCAACAAGAAATAAAATCATATACATCTGTGAAAAAAACAAACGCTCAAAGAGCGGCAGGTTCAGATTAAATTCTTTTCATTAACAGATTTACAAATATCAAGTCCGGTATAGTCGCTACCTCGGGCCTGAGTAAGCAGGGTGTCCCAAAAATGTATTGTGACGTTTCCCGCTGCTATTCTCCTGTTCAAACAGCAAGCAAAAGTATAACATCCACCTCTTTTGGAAGATTTTTTTGGGGCAGTATGGGCTAGTATTGGCAGAAAAACTGCTGTACCAGTTCCTACCGTAATCTTACAGTAATAAACGAAGATGGGTGACGGTTTGCACAGTAGATCTGATTGTGAGCTGTAGCCAGCTCTACTATATGCTAACTGCAAGTTCACGGCACGTGCTATACTTGTCACTTGATCCATCGTTCACTTCACTATTGGTCAAATAAGTGAACTGACCAATACCGAAGCGGATGTTTACTTTTCCACTTGATCCACCCCAGGGTCCAGCTTAGACCGTCTGGAAGCAGGCTGGACTTCGTTTTTGGAGCACAAAGCAAAGGAGCTATCGTTTTTGACGAGTCGGAGCCGAGCACGAAGAATAAGCGCCATTTAGTCGAACACAAGCTTTTCCGACGGGTTATCACACGATTGACATGCTCTATCCTGCATGGCGAAAAGTGCGCGCGATTTGAAAGCAAGGCTAAAATAAACAAATTGCTTGTTTACAGCGTGCACAGAATCATATAACACCAAAATTGAATTGTATGTATAGAAAACTATTTGCTGAAGAATTATGTTAAAAAATTTGAAAACTTATGTGAAGTAGTACCTTTTCCAAAATTAGATCGTCTCCAGACGGCCACCAGACGATCTGAGAAAATATATGCTCCAGACGATCTGAGATCGTCTGGAGCATATATTTTCGTCACTTCACATAAGTTTCGGATCTTTTTAGCATGGACGGATGCCCCAGTCAAAAATCTATCCCTATGCATAGAAACGTTTCCATATCACCCCCTGTCCGTCGTTTTTATCCTCTTTTTTTCCCGAAAATCGCTTTGTTAGATATCGCGCTCCAATGCCAAACTCTTGTGCATGCGTAGTATTCAGCTCCAACTTGAATTTTCACTCTTATCTTATGTTCTTTCTTTCAGATAGTGTATCCTTCTTGTTTTCATGTTCTCCTAAGTACGTAGGTCAAACAGGGCTTCGTAAAACTTCCGAAAGTTAGGGGAGACTTCGTTTTCGGAAACCCTAGAAACCGACTCATGCCGGGCCCTGATTCACCCCCTTCGCTATTGGTCAGTTCACTAACTTGATCAGTAGGAAGTGGATGAAGTGATTCAAGCGGATCAAGCGATGAAGTGTGGCGCGTGCCTAAGCTGTTCGGACAAGAGATTCATTAGCGATTATACATTCGTGACACTTTTTTGAGACTCCTTGTATGTTAGATTGCAGCACTCTCATTAAATCTCAGCCTAGTCGCTTTCTTTCATAGATTTCTTAGCGAAAATTTGCTTCTCGACATGAATGATTGATCGATTGTGCTAGGACGACACCTAAACCGGTTTTCAGCGGAGGAGGAATCTGTCTGGTGCCCCTTCTCCTGACAACAACCTCTTCTCACCTTGGCGTTAATCTCTGGTGCTCTGGCCTGTACTGCTCGGCCCTCATCGAGGGGTGTAGCGCAACTCTGCTCCCACATACCGGTGCCTCGTTCCCCACGTCATTTGTCCCGGGCAAGGACGACCTTCAAGACGTTCGGCAGTTGTGTCAGTGATCGTGGGCGATTATCGCCGATTCTGTGCTGTCGATTCGCTTGAGACACACTCGCAAATACCACCATTACGCCTCACTATAAATGCTTCGATACCAACTTTTGGTTCAAAGTAGACGCTTATGCCCAAGCTGTATCTCGCTCATCCCTTATTAAAGAACGCATGAATCGTCCACTAGCCTCTTTACCTGTGAATTTAATGAGCAGAATGCTAGAAGTGGTTACACACTAGATTTATTTGAGTTGGAACTTTTGTGCTACGATAGAACAAAACCTCCTAAGAAACAATTTTTGATTACCTACTGAAATTTCATCATCTTTTAAAGTTTATTGGTTAGTTGCGCTTGGATCCTAAAAAATTCACATTTTTTCAGATACGATAATATATCAAAGTATGTTTTTTGGCGCACTTTAAGTGTATCAAATAGAACTAAAGTTGAAAACTAATGAATCCGCGTGAGGGTAATCTTTGGAGCTAGATTTTATACATGAATTCTTATCCACACTTTTAATTTATGGAAGAATGAGCTCTTTAACTGATAATCCTTGCTCATAACTCAGACTTATCTCTAGACAGTCTCATCCTTATTTCTCTGATTCAACTATGTATAAGAAATATGTAGGGCCCCTTTACAGCCTCAAAACTCTTCGTTTCCAAGGAATCGCACATTTGTAATTGCTGACTCAATGCTTGGCTTGTGTCCAGAGTTGTGCGTGCTAACGTAGTGCCAGCGCCGTGGCAGCGCCGTTGATCGATAAATACGAGGCGGTCCCACGTGCATGCTGGCACGGCACTGGCACACGATAGCAATTTAGATTGTTACGATCCCGCTCCACTTTTTTTGAATGCAGTTCACAATTTTTTGTTTTTATCTAGGACCATGATTTACTACTTCTTTCTTCATGCTGTTCCAATTTGTCTAAGTTTGAGATGTACCATCTAAAATATTTTTTTTAAATTTGATGACGTTTCTAGTGTATCATTAACCACCCTCTCACATTCGCAAAAACATAAGGGCGCCTCGTCTCATGTAGAATACGCCTAATTCGAGCCAACCTCTCACGTAACTGAACTCGTTTTCTACTAGAATATACAAAATCAAATCATAAGACTCCCTTCGTGGGTCACTAAATAGTCGCGAATGATTAAATGACGACAAACCCAAACGATGAACAGCCCCCCCCCCTTCTGAGAGTGATTGCATATGTTCACTTCAGTTCATTTATACTATAAATCTAAATGCATCACAACTGACTGATAGAAAACGTATCTGACAATAGATTCTGTGTGATAAATGCGATTTGTACAAAAAAAACTGGTAGATGAAACCTGGAATTAATAAAATATGATGAGCTCGGCCCTGCCAAAGTGTGAAAGGAAAATCATATGAAAATATGTGATGTAAGTGAGAATGATGTACGTGGACGACTTAGATTTGAACTTAATGATTCTATGAATTTTACAAACAATTTAGCAAACATGGGCAAGTGTTTTTTGAACGTTAAATCTCCTTACCTCATAATGGGACATGAACATCATTTTCATGTCCAACTGCTATCTGGGGCTTTCTTCCTGCTTCTTTTTAGCTTCATTCTGCTTTGTCTATTCCTAATGAATATAATTTGATCTAGATCACCTCTACAAAAAGCATTCCAAAAAAATTGAAAATTCTTAACTAAAACTAACATCTACCTGGAAATTCTTAATACTTTTATAGCTCTTATAAGTGCTTTCATAACTAGATAACGTACAGTTGCTGGTTCAAATCAGTTTTTGTTCAGAACTCTGCTTTTCGAGCCGTGGCGAAGAGGCGGGGGAGGAGGCGAGTATTTTATAGTCATGAAAGCCTCAAAGCAGTAAACATAGATCAGAAGATATCAATCTTTTATGCTCGAATAAATAGGCAAAAAGCCTTCCATAAAAATTGGAAGGAAAAAATTGTGTTACTGCGAAATTGCCTTGTCTTTTTAAGAGATTGTCGACAATAGTCGCGGGATTTGCTCAAAATTTCTTTCAAAACACATATATTTGCAGTTTATAAGCAGATTTGAATCGCCTGATGAGGTTAATTTTTTAGTAAGCACACTTGCACTTGTACAGCTATCTTTTCCCTTCTGAGAGTCTTCGAAACTTCTTTCTGCACTTGCGAATCTCACCATCTCAATTTTTCAATATGAGTCAAAGTCGCTTTTGCGCACGTGCAGAATTGCAAAAATTGCTGAGTATATAACCAAAACTTCTTCTCAATACCTGCAGCAACTCGTCTCATTGTTGTTTCCGTTCTCCTCGCCATTCCATCCTGAGTTTTTTCGCCCCTCATTGCTCACCTAAGCGAGTCTATTTACACGATGAGTCACGCTGTTAGAGAGCGCGCGAGACTACTGTAACCAGCCGTAGCCTGCTCCACCCTCACAATTATGGTCGAACATATTTCCGACCCGCTGTGTTGTGAGGAGAGTGTGTGTACGACTGCCGAACAATGCGAAATGTTAGTTATTACTTGGCTTTATCGACGTTTTCAGCTGCCGCCGCGCTTTTGTTCGGCAGATTTTCGTTAATTTTCACTCGAGCGCTCGATTAACGCCGTAATCGATGAGGATTTTGTTCTTTTGGGGGATTCAAGGACACTTGTGTTCGTGAAATAATCGATAGTTTTTCAGAGACGTATGTCCGGCTATGATTTGGCCCGTAAGGGTTCGCTCACTCTCGCCATCATATTGTCCATCATTGGTATGGGATTGAGTATTGCGGCAATATTGACGCCCAGTTGGCAGGTAATGGGTCAAGATTAATGTTATTTCGAGTGGTTATTCATTTTTTTCTAAGGCCACAATCTGCTAGAGCTAGAAAACCACATGACGTCACGAAAGTCAATATTCCATTTTTGCAGGGTTTCAAAGAACAAAAGCATTCTATAGCCCCGTAACCATACCAACCGCAGCTTTATTTACTCTTGCTGAATTAAGTTCCGCATTTTCCACTATAAAAATAGGCTAATATATTTCGCGACTAGCTAAACGCTGCTACCAGCGTCAGAAACTTTTTCAGTTATTTAAACAACCAGCTCTACTAGTTATTGCTATTATGCGCCGACCTGGTTAAAAGTGGATCTATTCACGAACGTTATTTCTGCTGTCACGTGTTTCGTCGTTCAAAAAATTAGATATCTGATTTAATCTTCTTGTTTGTTTGAGTTTGAAGCTTGATACACAGTGAAACAACTCTGGTGGTTTGAGTTTCTCACAGTCCAAAATTATAATAAAAACAATCTCATTTTTTAGAATTTTTTTTGTCTCGCGCAAGATGCTAGCAGTTTGCAAACTTATAAGAGCTCTCTTCTCTAAAAATGTGCACAGTCAATCAATACTCTTTTTTAGCTATATTTCCAACTAGATACATAGTCACGAGATTCGCATCGTAAAAGAAATCGATGATGGGGATTCAAGGTTGCTCGGAATCCTGTTTCTCTATACAAGTCCGCATTCCTATAGCACGTGATAGTGAAAGTAACATCACAGAAACACACAAAGACCAGATCTCGGCATCTGGTTCGCAACAAAAAGGTTCTTTTTTTTCAGGTGGTCAATCTTCGTGAGTATAACTCAATTCACGAACATGGTTTGTGGTTGGATTGCACAAGGCACAGCCGCGATGGCAATCACATCATGCAGAGGTGAGAGCAATTTTTTCCGTAGTTCTCTCTTTGAGTGCTTGTGCACTAAAGGTGCACCAGTACATAATCAGAAGTAGCAGAACATGGACGAGTTTGAATTGATACTACAACAGCGTAATAAACTCGTCCAAGTGCTACTTTGAGTACGTACTGAGTTTTGCGCGCACAATCCAAAATTCGAGTGTAGCTGCGAGAGCTGACGCTTCTTATTTGGAAAATTTTAAGATTAATGTTAGACGATTTTCTTCGTTTAGTATGGGAATTGGCAGCAGAAAGAAAAACCATGAACTTTTTCTTGAAAAAATTTTCCTTTCCTGTAAGTAGATTGGATAAGCCTGGAAGACCATTATAAAGTGGCGTTGCAGAGCTGAGTCTCCCATTTTACAAAGCTTTTCAAATTTGTCCTTCAAATTCAATCGAGTGCAAATAAAATGTCAAGCAGAGAGATTTTTGAAAGTGCCCTGGAACTTTCCCTAAAACATGATATTAATCTTTGTTATAAATGAGCGCTAAGCATTACTATTCACCTACAAATCGCAGATAATGATTTATATTATAAATTTTCCCCAAAAGTATGAAAGTTTTCCGTACAGACGCAGTGCCTGCAGTATCCAGTTGTAATATGATTTTTCACGTTGAATATTATTCTTGCATGCTCGAGAATCTACTAAAACAACGATTCATTTCATTTTAAACTTCAGCGGGATTAGCATCGGTTGAAATTTGCCGATAGTGAAGCCATAAGTAATAACACGTGAGACACACACTACAGACTGCCTCACGCTTACTTGCAAATATAATAGTAACCCTGCATGACCCATATGGCCCATCTGTAGTTATTAAAGCCGAGAAAGAAAAGAAATCAGATTTAAACCCGTACTGTTGAGTTCAAGCACTTGAATCGTGAAATACTGCACAGATGACGCACTAAACACATTGACACACAACAATCACTTTACAAACTACGGTAATGCAATTGCTTGAGTTACAGCGTTTTTTACTCACAACAAGTTGTGGTGAAGAAGCTAAATGCGCTAATAATCAGAAAATTTGGTCATCCAAAAATGTTTGATACTTTCACTTTTTTGATCCAGATATGCGACCGTAACCGAGCCTCTTCACTGTGTGTACAAGTTCGACTACGACAAATACTCGGGCACATTCGACCTCGAAGACGACAACAGCCCAGTCGGAGAGGTGAATCGGCATAAATTCTATGGTGAGTCGAGTTGGAACAATCTGTTGGATGCGATTTTCGTATTTTAAAAGTAGAAGTTGGAAAAATTCTTGTTGATACTGACCTGAAGGGTAGATTCCATAACGATTTTATTGTTATAAACCGCGAGAATTCAAAAGCAACCTCATTATAAAAAAGCTGAAATTTCTCTCATTTTTATCAAGTAAATAAAAATGAATTTCGGTGTATAGTATTTGGAGACTACTTATAGTTTGTACTGATTATTTTGAAGGAATTCAGATGGGAATAAAACTGTTCTTCTAAAAAGTATAAGTTGAGTCTTCCCTTATTAGGTCCAGCATTTCTAAATGTGCGGCCATTTGCATAGACTGTGATTTGTTTGAAAGCTTCATTTAATTAAAAGTATTGGTAGGAACTAGGAGGGTAAGCGGTTTAGATCCACCAGATTGTAGCCGAAAGATATGATCTTTTGACAAATCAAAAACAAACCTTTTGGCATTACTTGCAGAAAAATTGCGCATTAATATGATGACTCATCAGACTCATCAGAGTGTCACTAGTGACCTTGTTGAAGTATTCAGTGGAAAATTGCACTTACCTGTAAATTTGCTTACTGATACCCCCAAAACGGAGTATTTCGCCTAAAATTTGCGTAACGAAAACAATAAGGGCGTGTTGTGTTTTGAAGAAAATCTAGTTAGGTTCTGTCAGGTGACTCGCCACACTACTCTTTGGTGATTTTACCATCCAGTACACCGAAGTATTTTGGGGAACCGTGACCACTTATTTATTTCAGAGATTCCAAATTCTATTGCTTAAAGCTGTTTATGTCTCATCATTAGGTGCAAGGGAAATAATAATACCGCGAAATAATCATTTTTCAATCTAGCTGAATGCAATCGCTATTATAACCCATAAATAATTGTTTTGAGCAAGAGGGTTTTCAAACTCACAATCAGTTGAGAGAGCAGAAATTCTGTCAGTTGAAATCTAACCATTCCATGTGGTTCGCCTACTAGATGCTATGAGACTAGCATATCCTAGCGCAGATGCGCTCGAATAGAATCCGGTTTTGACGGTGATGAGTAATGCAGGCTCTCTGTAATCCTTGCTGGATGATTCATTGAAGAAAAAACCATAGGGCAATGAGAATGATTTTGGTGAATGCTTCAAGTTGAAAGGGTAGAGTAATGGGAATTAATAAAGAAAATCGTCCCAGGACAACAGGAATGATTGGATATCGATGGCTGGGTGAACGAGAACGAAAAATTCTAGAGATTCAATAGACTTTGCCCCTCAATAAATACTTAAATAGATACCTTCCCTATGCCATCGAATACATAGCGAGTCAGAAATACTATAAGAAGTACTTACTTGTTAATGACTCATTCATGGTAAATTCTTACCGATGTTCAACGGAATTCTATTCTTAAAGTCATGAAAGAGCTAAGAGAAAGCAAGCTCAAACTACACATCAAAAAGTACTAGGCTGTTGCATAAGTTCTGTCCGATTTGAATTTTTGAGTTTAAAATGTCATAACTTCTTTCAGAGTCAACTTTTTTCCAAGGTCTTAGTTTCTATGTGTTGAGCAGTCCCTTGGCTAAAAAAAAGCATATTGAGATCTGCGCAAATCTTTGTTAAGGAAGAACCAAGAATGCAAAAACTTCGCAGCGTTTTTCTTCGAATCTGTCTTTTTTGACATGGTAACGCTCCCTTATGAAAATTGATAGGCATCTTTTCTAATAATGGATGGATAGAGAAATTTTCGTAGATTATTATGCAACATAAAAGAGCCCATAGGGTTTGCGCTGCCGAGAGATTTTCTTGACCGAACAAAAAATTAGCCACTTTTTGACCTCGCTTCAGCACATGTGTGCATGCCTATTTATGAACTACGAACGTTTTACAACTGACGTGAGCGCCGAAAAGGAATTGGTGGATGGGCCTGTTAGCTCTTGCTTTGCCCTAGCACCTCCAACTTTGAGCTTGTCGATTACTTCTATTCGCAGAAAGTTATTGCTTGTAAAACATCTATACCAAAGATTTATGTTCGAGGATAAATTTCACTAGCAAGACGTATTCTTCATGGGACCGAACTTCTGCATATACTAGCATTCCATACCCTTATTCCGAAGCCAATGAAAGAACCTGACTTGAAGGGCGCATTGTGGAGATATCCTCGCAAGGACATATTTCTAGGGATAGAACGTACCTCGGCCACTTAGAGATTTTAGGCCTGTGATCTCCGTACACTAAGAATTTTATTGAATTCTGGTATGCTTTAGAAAGCGCAAGGAAAGCACTTTTCAATGATACCAACCGTATCGAATTAGAGATGAAATTCTCTTAGAACAGCTGCTTCAAACATGAGGCAAAAAATCGGACAGAACTTATGCAACAGCCTAGTAAAGGGTCTCTCCTTTTCAACCGAAGGGGATATAATAATGAAACTAATATTAATAATAATTATATGTGTATATTTATTATAGCTACTCTTTAAAGACTCCATTTCGTCTTTATACAACAATAAGACAGAGTTTTGCACTGTTTTCGTGCCATCCCCTGTACTCTCTAGTGAAGAAAGATGATATTAGATAAGAATAAATCATTTCTCAATTTAAGTTTGAGTTTCGTTGCTTTTCTAATTTTGACTGATAATGAAAGTCTGTACTTTTTTTTTGAAAATTCCAAGTATTTTATTCTAGATACTGTTAGGCTTTAGACCATAATTTCAAACACTAGAAGTTTACCTAGTTCAATGTTTCATCTCAATAATTATTAGTTATCTCAAGGTTTAGCTAACTCAAGGGGTTAGCAGTTGTAAAACGAACTTGTGACATCTTCTGCCCTAGCAATTTTTTCCTACCCTTGATTTCTTTCAGGATGGCATACGGCCACGTTGATCCTTTTGGGATTGGCTCTACTCACTTCCTTCTTGTCGATATGTTTGGGAATGTGTTCATGTTGCTATGGCTCTTTGAGTCTCGTATTCACTGCCCTCACCCTCTTTACAAGTGAGTTGAAGGAATGCATTTATGACGTTTTTGAACTACATGCCTGTTCTTTGCCAGCTTTGCTCTCCGCTGTCGCCGAGGGCATTTTCTTCTTCTACTCTCATCGTGCTGACAATCGCTTTATCAAAGGAATTGTTGGTACATATGAGGTATTTTTTTGCAACATATTGTAGTTCTTCTACTTGAGTTTTTGTTAGATTTTTATTCTTAAATTTTCAGCAACGAGTTGGACTCGCCTTCTTCCTGCAAATGGCTGCTGCCTTCTTCCATTTTCTTTCCTTCCTCGTAGCAATGGTTTCCACTTACTTTTCGTTCTCAGCAGCTAAAGATGCTCAAGATCACTTTAGTCGCAGTTCACGGACAAATGTTACAAATATAGGAAGGTAAGCGAAATTCAATTCAATATCCTTTTTATACAGCTTTTCGATTTTGTGGGAATACTGATTTTCATTCTAGGTCAATGGAGTTTGATGCTCCCCTAATGTACCAATCACAGACCCCTCAACCAAGCATACGACAGCCATATTCTAAACAAGAAGAATATGATAGACATGTAGCTGAGAGTATGCCAGAACTTGGCATGACCAGGTACGAGCAGAAAAGGCATGTTACATTTTTACGCTTGATCTTTATTTCGTTTCAACTTTTATCATCTCTTCGATCATTCTTGCATAAGGCATGAGCAGCGTTTGAAGCTGTGATATGCCAGCGGCGTTCCAGCGCCGTTCCACGTTATGTTGGAGTCCGCGCACACGCTCTCCGTATTGATCGCTCGATTTCTGGCACAGCGCTGGCATACGGTTGACCCAGACACTCTAAATGCGGCTCAACCCAAGCGATTACAGTCACTTTTGAAAAATAGAAAAATTGTTCTCAGAAAATAAACATCTACATTCCTTTTCGAAAACTTACTGACATACTATGCTTCAAAACGAAAAGTTTTAAACTTTTGGTTTTTTTCATAAAGCTTAATATTCCCTGTTGCAAATAAAAACAGCACTTTTCCTTTATTTTCTTGAAAAAAAAACCTCGAAGTCTTTGCATTTGCTTGATGTTGAGAATTCCTAAAACTTCTTCATTTTCAGAGGTGCGTTTCCATCAAACGACTTCTTCCCCACAAGAATCCGAAGGAAGAGCGAAACCTGTGTTTGAAACACTGCTCTGTAATCATCAAGCATTTCCTGACATCTGCCAATTCGCATTCAATTATGTTTCTGTTTTATTGTAATCTTTCCGTCAAGCGCAGATTGACATGTCCCACAAATCCGGTGTAGCAAATATTTATCTTTGATTGATACAAATGAGACTCGCTTGGCCATCTCTGTCCTCATCAATTTGGAAGTAGGATTCGGTGATGAGCTGAGTAGGTGCTAGGAGCCTTCTGAAACTTCTCTACCCCCCCCCCCCCCCCGGACAAGTTGGCCTACACCTAGGAAATTCACGAGCCATGTGAAGGCAGTGTTCAGGCAGATTCTAGCGTCGGTTGTTTATGAGGAAACGATGGGAATGCTTTATCGCTGTTGAAGCGGCATCTCTCATGATCTATTCTTGACGAAATGTAAATCTGAATTTTCGCCCAGTACCTACCGTAACTGGGAACGCTGAGTGGCTCTCTCGGAGAGAGCATGGTCTGGGCTAGGGTTCAGAGCTTCCTCGCCCATGGATGAGCTATACATGCCTGAACCGATCCAGATCTACCACACAGTAGCTTAGTTAAGGCCTTTCACTTATTGTTGGGATCCACAAAAAGTTCGGGTATGCCCAGATCTGCACTGACACTGCCTTCAGATGCATTCGAGCGAGTCTGGCCTCTTGCTTCCGGGATTAAAGTCTTATCCATTATCCTCGTTACCCTCATTCAATTCTGATCAGTGTTTAATGTGATGTCTTTGCCTACTTAAAAGGTTGTTTACGATTATATTGTGCCCTTCACTTATGTACAACCCCCTGTAATTGTCTCGTGTCCTATTATGTTTTCATTATCGACATCCCAAAATCAGGGAGTTTGCTAACGTGGTCTCCATTTATTATCACATCCTAGTTGCCTTTCTAAATCTTTTTTTATATAGAAGCGATTCTTATGTTCAGTTAATTCGCTCATTTTTCGACTTTGCGTCGTTCATGCTTTCCATGTGGATGCTGACTTCTTTTCGTGCCGCAACTTGCCAGTTGTATGTATTTTATCGTAAATATGTCTAATTTCGTATGAGTTTGTATGTATGCATTTCATTGTCTGTATTTGTGTTTGCTCCTCACATGTTACAAAATAAATGCTATTATGATGAGCCATCGTGGTTGCCCATCGGTTTTTGGCTATCTTGGAAAATTATTCCTTAAAGTCCTTACATTGACTAGCAGCCATATCAATGGTTTGTAGACAGTTATACAAAACTTTTCGTATCAAGATATGGTTTCGAGTGAATGACTCAAAGAGATTAGATAATCATTTTTGATTCGAAATTTTTTGACGCAAGGTGCAGAAAAGTGAAACACCCCATTTTATCATATTTTCATAACAAAATCGTTATTTGAAAATCGAAGGTTGCAAGTAAAATGTACAATTGAGACGCACATATATGATTTTGTTCATTTGTTTGGCCATACTTATTCGCTCAAATGCTCCGTCCTTTCGTGGCGTGCGGGTCCAAGCGCAAATTCTTTCGTCCCCGTTCCTTGCTTCAGACATCCGCTTTCCTGGTGGTCGGCGATGGCTGCGTCCACTGGTTACAAGTGTGAGAATAATCGTTCCCAGCTGACTTCAAAGGTGGTCCATCCGTTCCACGAACGTCTGCCCACCCCATTGGTGGTCTTCCTCGGGAACGTTTTGTTTCGAGAGGAATCCACTCTGATGTTCTCAGTGTTCATCTGTCGTCAGTTCTTCCCATGATGAGCAGTGCATCGATGCTTTGCTTTCGCATAAGGATTACGAATACGGAACATTCTTCTCATACGTACTGCGAAATCCGACAAGATGTTGTTTGTGTCGGGTTCTTCAGAAAACTGCGATCAAGCGCTCCGTGGTTGAGCTTTCGACGTGGCTACAGTATCGGGCCAAGTCTCAGCTGCGTAACAGAGCGCCGGAAGGACGGTTGAGTCGAACAAGTGGGCACGAAGCTCCGGGTCCATCAGTTGACCAGTGGCTTCCTTCAAAGGCCCTGAGGCAGTCCAAGCTGCTTTTCTTCTCCTTTTGAGTTCTTCCATCAGGTTGTTCTCCATGTGTAGGTATGAGGTGGGAAAAGGAGAAAGGAAAAGGAAAAGTCTCCTATAGGGTTCTTTCCAATTTCATTTCTGCATCTTCGCAAAGGCCGTTCTTCATGAAGTAAGTCTTATTACGATTTATTCGCAATTCGATCTTCTTCCCTACATCGTCTATGCTTCAGAGAATTTGCTTGAAAAGAGAACGGTTCCGTCCGCAAAACAAATAATTGGAAGGGATCAGCTCTTCATCGCTCTCGTCTCAGCACAGTAACTTCATCACCCTCTGCAAGACCACGGCGAACAGCTTCGGCGAAACCTCGTTATGATGGTCAGGGAACAATGGAAAAGCATCGTCGTTTTAGTTCTTGTAGTGGTCTTCTACTGTCCTCACGTAGACTGGGTCTTCTCTTTGCTCGACTAGCGCTGACAGGATAGCGTTGGTTTCGACGCTGTCAAAGGCTTTCTCGTAGTCTACGAAGGTTAGGAAGAGAGGCAAGCGCTATTTCCGGCACGCTCGAAACCGTCAGGACGTGGTCCGTGCAGCTGAATCCTTCGCGAAGTCTATATTGTTTTTGGGTCTAAGCTTTAATCAGTGTCATGAATAAGCATGCAGGGGATCTCCGTGAAGAGCTTGTCCAGCACACTCAGCAGCCATTTCGGACGTAGTTCCGAAGATCCTCCCGTTCATCCTTTTTGAAAAACAGGACGGTTCTTGACGTTCTTCTCCGGAAATCTTTTCCTCTAAAGATAAAATGTCAGGCGATGCAAGAATCTCGTAGACGCTGTCCGGCTCGCAGAAGTTCGACAGAAAAACTCCATACATTATCGTTTTCCGTGAAAAACATGAGAGTCCATTTTTTCCTTTACTGAAACCTAAATTCTTAGTAAGCCAGAAAGCATCTATCGCTTTCATAATTAGAAGCGACAAAAGTAGGTAGCAAGGAAAATTGTTGCACTTCGCATGTGACTGAGGGATTACTTTTTTGAAGCGAGCATCCTTCGGAATGGTTTCAGTAAATTTTAATGATCTTCTTCAGTTTTATAGAACCAAATCCAGGGCTCGGCACAGGTGGCTTGTAAGCAAGCTGAATATCGTTTTTGGGTCAAAAAGCAAAGGGGGTTTCGTTTTTAAGACCGAAAAGAAACAAAAATCGCGACGTTGTTTTAGTCGACGTTTCGTTTTTTGGATTTTTTTAGGGATTAGGATGGAGGGCCAAAGGGGACTTCGTAAAAATCCGCAAAAATTAAGTGGGACTTCGTTTTTTGCATTTTCAACTAGCCAGTGCCGAGCTCTGACCAAATCCCAATGTAGAAAAAAGCTGCTCAAGTGTGCGAAATTTTTGGAATTTATTCGAAGATATAAAGGGACAATGCGATTGCGAATTGGAACAAAACATATGCTGTAAGAACGACATCAACTATCACCACGATTTTCACGTAAATATTCATTTCGAATGGCTTGTGCTCGGATTTCTTTGCACATGTATTCGCAGATTCCTGGTCCATCACTTGATACCGGCACAACTAGATCTGAAAATATCCAAGTTTTTTTCAAGCTTCTTATGTTTAGATTGTTACATAAGCAGTGCAGAAATGCTTTGTAAATTTTCGGCAAAATCTTTTGGAAAAGTTTGTTTCTTCAATACGTTTTAGAGAAAAGAAATATGCGTTTTTACTGATTGAACATTTTAAGTTCATGGCGACGATACATTGACGAAAAAAACCTCAAAGCTATTGTATAAATCCGTCATTTAGAAGAATGTTGCATTTGATCTAAGCTCAATTTGGGTCTTCCTATTCTTTAAAATAAAATTTTTTTTGAGGTGTCGAATATCTACGACTGATTGTACTTATGAAATAATTTGAAGCTTCTTTTTGCTTGTTATGTATCAATTTTTTGATAGTGGAAGTACTACACTGATTACACATAACTTAGAGAATATTATAAACAATTCTTTTTTCCAACTTTTTCAATACAATTCCTTATATTTCTAACACAAGACTTATATTCGGGAGAACCCTGGCGTGGTGTTGGGCACCCACATCCGATGCAGTTTGCATCACGGGTAACGCTCCCCAGCGATGAAGAGGCTAGCCCTAGCCCTGGAGGAAATATACTCCTTCAAAAGGAAACTGCATAAGAGTTCTGGACGGATCGCCTCGAACTCGACGGATCTTAGATCCACCAAAAATAGTAATTCAGTTCACAAGAATACGTGTTCAATGTTGTCCACGTCTAACAATGACTCTGAAAGCCACCGGTCAAAGATAGTAGATAATTCAAATTCTAGCAATTATACAGGATCAAGATGTAAGAGAAGAAAATGTCACATATGTGATAAAACTAATTTCGCCAATATAGTCAAAAGTTCTGTAACAAATTACTACTATAAAAGCAATAAACCCGAAAACTGTAATTGTGATTCAAGAAATATTGTTTATATGATAACATGTCTCACATGCAAATTACAGTACATAGGAGAAACAACACAAGCATTGAGGACTAGAATCAACCAGCATCGCAACAGTTTTCGAAAAGGGAATTTAAATACTTTTATGGTGAAACATTTCCAAATGACAGGACATGATCCAGAACACATAAATATAGACATATTAGATCATGTTGGTGAAAATGATAATGTAAAGAAACTTTTGAGGGATAAAGAATTGCAGTGGATACAATATATTATTACGGCATATCCATTGGGTTTTAATGATCAAATTAAAGGATTTGGTAATATATCAGACAACGTGAATCCACTGGAGAAGAAAGAACATCCATATTTTCGTTGTCCAGTAGAGACCAGAAGATTTAGAGGAAAGAAAAGAAGATCTCGAAAGAAAAATGCATGTCCTGATAGAACGGAAGAAATTTTAGAAAATATAAACAATCTACAAAGTCATGAGCTGTTCGTATACTTTAGAACACTTAATAAGCAAGACGTAATAAGGTT